AAAAAAAAAAAAAAAAAAAAAAAAAGGATGGGATGTAGCTCAGTAGCACCGTGCTTATCTAGCACACACAGGTCCTAGGTTCAATCCCCAGTACTACAGAAGAAAAAAACTTAAAAAACTCATGAGGGAAAGAAGTAAAAAAAAAAAAAAAAAACATGAAGAAATGAGATTTTACAAATAGGTCATCGCAGAAGCATAAAAAAGACTCAAAGAACAGTAACAGTGTGATATCAAGGTCTACTCTGCTAAGATGCTTCTTACTCCCTGACTTAATGTTTAATCATTTATACATTTAAACTAACAATGCACAGATGTGTAAGAATAGAACCGAAGTTAGTCTCCAGAGGGTCCTACTTCCTAAAACAGAAGAGTCAATTCTGACTTTACTAAAAGTAAAGCAAATGTCATTTGAAGGACTAAGCAACTGAAGAATTCAAGAACCATGTCACTAATGACATTTTAAAACTAAAAGGTCTCCTTCAAAACTTGTTCAAAAAACCTCTAATATATGGTTTTCTCCCTTTCACTCATACCTGAAAATTTCTGCCTTATTAATTAAAGCTTTTTAGGATACAAAAACAAAGACATAATGTCTAATACTTGCATACATAAATGTAGGTAAAAAATTACTCAGTACAAACCACCAAAGGGTACTGCTCAAATGACCTTGGCACTATCAAATTTAAAATAAATTTATTAAATAAATATTTACAAAGGCACTTGTTATAAACTAAGCACTGTTAGTCACTGGGATTCAAAGACAGAGAAAAATCGAATTTGCCAGAGGCACCATGTTAATTCACAGCAGGTAAATATTGTAATTTATTCAGTATTTATACTCTCAATAGCTTTCCACTATAAAATTTGAATACCAATAAGAAGGGCATAAACATAGTTACCAAAACAGCAAAAACTTCAGGTGTGTAGCTAGTGCTAGCTTATGTCAGGACAATCGGAGTTTGTGGGCTTTTTTTTAGGGTAAATAATACATTAATTAAAGAAAGCATTTCATTTTCTTTTATTCAGAAGACTACAACCTCAGGCTAAACTTTTAACTAAAGGTAAATGCTATAGACTGAAAAGTACAAAAATGTATTCTTGACTATGTTGTTACGGACATGATTAAAAAAAATCATTACTTACCGACTTTGTTCTTTCCTTTGTTTTATTAACTGAACAAGTTCCTTGTCAAAATATTCTTCTTCCTCTTCTTCTCCCTTTCCATCTTCTTCTCTTTCCTGGGCATCAACATTATCTTTGTGCAACTGGCCAGAAATGTGCTTTGCATATGCAGAGAGACCCACTATTGTGACTCTGCATACTCGGCAATCATGACTACTGTCCCTAGGGAGAGAGGGAGATGAGGGACATTCAATTCTCCCTACTGGCATGGCACACTCACGAGATGTGTTACGTTTCCTCTTAAAGACACTGCACAATTTGGCACAGTGGAGAATTAGTGCTCATCAATTGTAATGCTCCTTTCATCACTTTTAATAGTTTTGTTCATAAGTTACTTTTGAAATCAATTTTACATTCTTTTCCAGCAATCAAGAGGCAATACACTTCAGATTAACGTGCTTTAGGAGGAGAGATCTTCTTGAATTGCTGTACTTAAGATCTTGCCAGAGGAAACGTGGTGAAAGGGGAGGCAGGGCAGGGGGCTCAGAGCAAACACAACTTGCTCTGGAGCACACCCATGGTGCCAGCTGCACTCAGAGAGCCTGGTGACAGTGCTTGGATTTAACCTCCTGCTCTGGAGAGTTCTTCCAGTCAAAGTTAAGGGGTGGAGAAATGAGTAGGTGGCACAGCCAATCCCAACAAGTGGCTAAATCTGAACAGCTGGCACTCTGCCTGGAATGTGCAGATTCTGATAGCAGTCGTCCTCAGCAGCTTTTTTTGATCTGGATGATACATGTGACCTACACTCTGCTTCAGAAGGGCTTATTTTAAAGGGAATGGAAAGCATTTCAGATGTGGGACGTTAACAGCTGTGTTAGGCAAATGTTTTTTCTCAAGTTTCAGAAAATGCTATAGTTCAGAGAGAAGCAAAACTAGGTTTTCATTTAAACTGGACAGAATAATATTTTTTCGTTTGCTTGACACACTTAATGGTGAAATTCATACTTGACCAGTCTTAAGCCAAAGTCTTAAAATCTACTCCAGGCCTGTAAGAGAACAACTATTTTGCCACTCTCTGGTATGAAATCCCTTGATGGGTCAGCTGTCTATACAGTCATGATGAGAAACATCTGAATGCCATGGCTACAGAGCGGTAGTATCCATTCAAAAATCCAAACTGGCTTGATCCCATATCATATGTCTTGAGTTTATACTAGTTATATTTTTGTACTTCCTATATCAATCTATTAAAAAAAACAACATAAAAATACATGCTGTCTTTGGCCAGACAGAAACATACATTCATGAGTGCCTCTTACGCCTTCTCACATACACCTACCAGAACATGGGCAGAACTTATATTGATTACACCAGAAGAGATTTGAAACTGAGCATTTCATTTACTAGAAGATAATTTCTATTATAGATCACTTAATGTTCATTTAAAATCAAAAACCACCTCATTAAGCAACTGCTATATGTGAGGCACCACGATCATCCAGGATGGCAAAGTATAAATATTGGAACAATTTTCTGGAAGTTTACAATACTTTTTTTTTTTTAAGACAAGATCTCACTACCTAGTTCAGGCTGGCCTTGAACTCACTATGTAGCCCAGACTGTCCTCCAACTCACAACTTTTGCCTTGGCCTCCTGAGTGCTGGGATTACAGGCATGCACCACCATGGCCAGCTATATTAGAACAATACTTAAGGGGTGCGGCCCAATAGTAAGGTACTTGCCTAGCATAAGACCCTATGTTTGATCCTCAGCACCACAAAAAACAAACAAAAAAAATCGCACACAAACACAATACTGTTTCCTACTTTGTAAGCATCACAGAGAAGAGAAACATGGGAGAAAGTTTACAAATTTTCACTTTTTGGACTTTGTAACTCAAACTCAAATGTTGGTATTTTAAAGATTCATTTTAATGAGTTGTGACCAGTTTCCCTAAAAAAAATCAATACCTGATTACTCTGAATATCAAGATCTTAATTCCTTTTAATCCCACAGGTACTTCAATACATTATTTTCACTGAGAGTTTTCAACTGTACTTACTACACATATCTACTTAAAGAATAACCTTCAACTTTTCCCAGCTTTCCAGGAGTAGCAAGTAAATTGATGGTAGTTTATCCTAAGTGAACATTAACTTGCAATAGAAAATAAGCTGCTTCTCACAGCAACACGGACAGTTAAAAATGGGCAGCATACCTAATTTACACTACAACAGGATTTCAAATCAACTTAATTTTCCAGTGATGAAATGTTTTTGTCTTTAAACTCCCTAAAATCAGCCAGGCATAGTGACGCGTGCCTGTAATCCCAGCACTTGGAAGGCTGAGGCAGGAGGATTGTTGCAAGTTAGAGACCAGCCTGGGCTACAAAGTGAGCTCAAGGCCAGCCTGAACTGCATAGGAAGACCCTGTCTCAAAAACACCAAAAAAAACAAAAAAACCCACACTCCCTAAAATCATGTCTTCTACCTAAGAACTTATATAATGCTAAACCTCTATATTACAGTAGTAGTAGTAACACCATTCTACTAGGAACTTTAGTATAATCCCTAAAAAATTCTTAAATAAAAATTCCTGATTTTACCCTTATTTCTAAAATGCATAGTATATGTCTATAATCCTAGCATTCAGAAGGCTGTGGCAGGAGGACTGCTCCAAGTTCCAGGCCAGCCTTGGCTGCAAAGTGGGTTCAAGGCCAACCTGAACTACACAATGAGACCTTGCCTCAAAAAGAAAGAAAGAAAAAAGAACAAATTTTCTCATGTTCAAATCACCCCGATATCTCCCTCTCTCTCTTTCTCTCTCTCTAACAGACTGCTGAGCATAGTGACTCATGCCTATAATCCCAGCAATCAAAAAGCTGAGGCGGTAGGGTCACTGCGAGTTCAAGGCCAGCATGGGCTACATACTGTAGCGAGTTTAAGTCCAGCTTGAACTGCACAGAAAGGGCCTATTTTGAAAAAATCAAAAATAAATAAATAAAAATGGAACAGAGGTAGGACTACAGCTCAGTGGTATAGAACTTGACTAGCATGCATGAGAATCTGGATTCAATCCTAAGTACCACCAAAAAAAAAAAAAAAAAGACACCTAGAATGTCAGTGTGACCCTTTAAAATATTAAGGAACATAGCACAAAGTAGGCAGATTTCAATTTCAACCATATAACCTCTCTTTTATACACAATAGGCATTCATGCTTCAACATGTATCTGGGAAGCTATATGTTTTAAAAGGTTAATAGCAAACTAAATATTTATTGATGCCACTTATCAAATCTTTTATTAATAACCAGTTTAAATATCCTGTTTAAGTGCATACAATGATTAAAGAAAAATGTGCTGTTTTCGCTTTTTACCAAGTAAGGTAACACTTTTCCTCAGGGTGCCTGAATGGCCCAAATTAGCTTCATCCTGTTACCACACATTTTCTCCTCATGTGTGAAAGGCAGTCTTGGATATTCTCTGCGTAAGCTTTTCTTTATTAAGCTTGCTCTAACTACACTGCAACAGCTGCATGATAAATAAAGGTTTGAGTCTTTTTAACAGTATCTATCTGGAGAAACTACTTAGAGACCACACATCTGAACAAATGTGTCAGGAAAAAATAAAGAAGTGTTACAGATGTTCATGATCATGAACCAAAGAGGACCAGTTACTTCCTTTACATTCAAGTTTGCATTCAAAGCTTAAAAAATAGGTACTTTACAATTCCTCATCAAATCACTACCAGAACTTATAGATACAACTATAAACAGAAAGTCTTAACATCAGAAAGCCCATAATTAAACATGAAATCCAGAGGAAATAATCACAAACTGAGACGAATAGGAAAAAGGAATGATTGGATGGTTCTTTGTCCCTATGGTATGAACTAGTGATGATTGTCTGTCCTAACAATAAATGTTCAAAACCAGTACATAATTATATGTGTGTATTTTTTAGATACAGTTTTGTCAGATTTTTTTCTTGCTATATATGCTATCTCCCCTCTCCATTTTTATAGTACTTAGTGATACTGACGATTGAACCTAGGGCCTTCACATCCCATCCTTTGCTTTATTTTTAATGTTGAGACAGAGTCTTGCTAAGTCATTAAGTTGCCCAGGCTAGGCACAAACTCGCAATCCTCCTGCCTCAGCTTCCTAGAGTGCTGGTATTACAGGTGTGAGCATGCCTAGCTTCCCTTAAAATTTTTTATAGGCCAGAAAACCATATAAAACTTGTTAGCACTGCATCTAACATATGAAAGAATTAATACTAAAATGCTCTCCTCACCAGGTTTGATGGTGCACGCTTGTAATCCCTGCACTCAGAAGGCTGAGGCAGGAGGATCACTGTAAGTTCAAGGCCAGCCTGGGCTACAAAGTAAGCTCAAGGCCAGCCTGAACTGCATAGTGAGACCTTGTCTCAAAAAGACAAAAATAAATAAATACATAAAATACTCTCCTCTAAACACAATGAATTAGGGTACAAAAGCTGACAATTATATTAGCAGCGCAAATACTTTTAATGTTCTTTTATGTACAAGAGTAAATACATAGGGCCGGGGATATAGCTCAGTGGCATAAGTGCTTGCCTGGTAAGCCTGAGGTCATGAGTTCGATTCCCAGTACCAAAAAAAAAAAGAGTAAATACATAGGAAGAAGTCTGGGTAGTATGTACTCTAAACTGTTGACTCTTCTCTAAGACAGAAGTGGGATTTAAAAGGGTTAGGACACGGAGACGTCTACTTTCTTTTACTTTTTATGATTCTGAACTCATTATGAATATGAATCTTACCTAATCAAAATTTGTTTTTTAAAATTTTACATGGCTGATTTCTGAATTAAATAAGACACTAGCATTGGAATGCAATCAGCTTCTCTCCTACTGACCGAAATTCTTGACCTCATTTGTTTTGTAGATTTTAAAATATAGTACATACAGGGGAGGTGGCAGGTAAATAGTCCAGAAGGTAAACTCCGGAAGTCTTTTGGAAATGGAGTTTTTAAATAGTTAAAATGATCCACATAGAATCAATAATTACATTTCATAGGTTTCCAGTGCTAATGAGTTAGAGATCACATATACTTGAGTAATATGATATCGGTTTCCCCTACACTAAATCTGACAGAAATCTTCTGTATACTGTTGCTAAACCTAACTTTCACCCAGTATGGAACTGGGGACGGGGCACAGAAAAAGTCCATTAATATGCTAAAGAAATGCTGAAAATTTAATAACATATAAATTTGCCCACAAAAACCAAAAAAAACAAAAACAAAAACAAAAAAACCTATATGGCTTAAAGTAATGTTAATACAGTGCCAGAAAAAAAAAAAAAAACAATGTCAGGCTGGGTGTGGTGGCACACAACTACAATCCTCGCATTCTGGAGGAATATTTTACCGTGAGTTAAGGCCATCCTGGGCTACATAGAGAGTTCAAGGACAGCCTGAACTACATAGTGAGACCCTGTTTCAAAATAAACAAAAATGCCAAAGACCTAGGATGACATCCTGATCAAAACTTTTAACTATTATTCATGGAATAAAATATAATTCATATTTCTTAGTTTCCCAATGTCTCTTTGTTTATTCAGTCTCTAAACTTCAAATTCACAGAAGTCAGAAACATCAAAAAAAGGAGCTAATGACAGACATGGAAATACAAATAGGCTACATTTGCTTTTTAAAGTTGCTTATTAGATTTTCTTCCCTTAAACATTTCAATCTTTTAATTAAAAAAGAACATCCTCAAGTACACTTAAGGTCTGTAATTGGATTTTGTTTATGAGAGTCAGTGTATAACAGTCTGGACTTCTCAGATTATTTCAGCAACATGCAGGTTTCTGGTATCCAGTAATTTATAATACTTGTAAAGCGAAAATATGAGAGATCCTAGTTGTAAAGTTATTGAGCAGGAATGAGACAGCCTTCTAATGAGAAAGCTACACCATCTCAACTCAACTTTATTATAACTTTACTATAAGCTACTTTCCAGACCTGCTGTGAATTCTACACATGTGAGATGCACAAAGGTATTAGGATATACCACTTCTTTTTTAAAGAAAAAAAATATAAAATTTCCAAACAAGATAATAGGAGGGTAACAATGGTTAATACATTGTGTACTGTTATCTTTAAATTAGTTACTCAGAGTACAAGATATCGGCATTTAATTGTCCAAACAATATTAGCACAAACCTTTCTTTTCAATGAATAAGAGAAATTAAATTTGCTGTACTTGTTATTAATTCTAAACGACTGTTCTATGCCATAAGACAACATTCATTACACTGGGTTACTACAAAATAAACTGACAAGGACAATCGGCTTGCACCCCCATTCACAAATTTATGGAAGACAGCTGTTCCCATACCTGCCCTTCAGGTTCTCAAGTTCCCTGTGATGCAACATGCTCCGCATGTGTTCGTCCATCTCCTTCAAAATTAAAGAAAGCAGATTAAACTAAGGGAGATTGCTTTGAGGAGGGAAAAAATTAAACTCCTCTGTTCCTGTCCAATCAACAATTGAGGATCAAATTCCCTCTGCTTATTTGTGATTGCTCTTCTCAATTCAATATTGACATCAGTTTTTATTAAATAATTATTTGGCTGTGTTTTTTACATATTTCATTTTTATTTATTTTTGTTTTTTGAGATGGGGTCTTTTTTTTTTCCCCCTGCCTTAGCCTCCTGATTGTACTACTACACCTGGCCATTTTTTTTTTTTTTTTTGGTACCGGGAATCAAACTCAGGACCTTGCACTTGCCAGGCAGGTGCTTAGGCTGCTGAGCTATATCCCCAGCACTCGTATTTTATTTTTAAATAAAAGGAATTCTTAGGCACAGCTAAGTGGCTTTCCAAAATGGTTAGAAAGTTATCTTGAGGAGGCAAAAGACAAGAATAAATTATGTATGTTAAATTCTGTCCTGTTACATAGAATTTACCAAAGTTTATTTTAAAAACCTCTCAGCCAGGCACAGTGCCCAAGCCTAAATCCCAGCTACTTGAAGACTTCAGTATGAAGACTGCACAAGATTAAGGCCAGGCTGGGCAACTTAGCAAGTCTCCATCTCAAAATGAAATATAAAATATAAAGGACTATAGCTCAGTATGGCACTTGCCTAGAATTCCATAGGCCCTCATTCAATCCCCAGTAATAGAAGAGGGGGGAAGTGAGGCACCTCTCAAATCACTTCTTTTTCACCATTTTGCTACTTGGGTTGTCTGTTTGTTTTTGGAGACAGGGTCTTGCTTTGTATTGCAAAACTGCCCTTGAACTCACTATGTAACCTGGGCTGGCCTCAAATTCCCAGTGATCCTCCTGCTTCAGCCTTCCCTGCCACAGCCTTCAAGTGCTGGGATTATAGGCATGCACTGCCACACCTGCAGCTATTTTGCTACTTTTATCCACTCTCTTTGACTATTCAACTGAAAGTTTCTCAAGAGTAAGCTACAGCTTGCTCTTATGGTTCAACAGAACCTGGCATGCAGTTATCAATAAATATTTGTTGAATGAACACAGATGGCTACATCCACTCTAAATAGCAGTTACAAATATAAGTCTCTATATAGTAGATCAGGACATTTTAAAAATATTTTCAGCTTGGCATGACGGTGCACACCTGTAACCCCAGTATTCTGGAAGGCTAAGCCAAGAGAATGAAAGTTTGTGTATAGCCCAGGCAACTTAGTGATTTAGGAAGACCCTGTATCAAAATAAAAAAGGACTTGTAGCCCATTGTGAAAGCCCTGGGTCCAATCCCCAGTACCATCAAACAAACAAACAACAACAAAAAAGCAAAACTTTGCTCAATCACTGCTTTCTCTTTACTGACCACTTCTCCTCTTCCTCTAATTGGTTTGTTTGGGTCTAATGAAAAGTTTGAACAGTTACTAAGTTCCCCAACTCTACCCTGCCATCTTACCCTTAATGGGAAGAAAATAAAATCCGTAAAAAAGATGTCATTTAAAAATATATGCATACACACACACACACACACTCTCTCTCTCTCTCTCTCTCTCTCTCTCTCTCAAAATACAAAAATACAAAGATCTGTAAATGTCTATCTCGCCACCATGCCAAAGTATATACATCCAGCATCCCCTACAGCAGTGGTGGCAAACCTATGGCATATGTGCTACAGTGGGCTATTTGTATCACTGAAAGCTCTAAAAGGTTTACCATCACTGCCTTAGAGAATGACTACTTACATATATAATACTAAAGGTCCAAGCTCTCTGGGAGGACAAGACAGGGTTGCAAGTTCAAACCCAGCTTAGGCACTTTATCAACTTATGGAGGCCATGTCTCAAAAAACTGGCCAGAGGCTGGGTGTCATGGTGCACACCTGTAATCCCAGCACTTGGGAGACTGAGGCAGGAGGGTCACTGCAAGTTCAAGGTCAGTCTGGGCTACGTAGTGAGTTCAAGGCCAGCCTAAACTACATAGTGATACCCTGAATCAAAAAAAAAAAAAAAAAAAACAAAAAAACACAATCCAATCCATCCAGACATACACAAGTACTGGCCAGGTGTGGTAATGCCTGAAATCCCAGCACTTGGGAGGCTGAGGCAGGAGGACTGCTATGAGTTTGAGAGCAGCCTGGCCTACATAGTGAGTTCAAGGCCAGCCTGAACTACACAGCAACATTCGTCTCAACCCCTTCCAGATTAACAGGTGCATATAGCTCAGTGCAAAGATCCTCAGTTCAATCTCAAGTACCAGAAACAAAAAGAAGGGGAGTATTACTTTACCCATGCAAAATGCCTCAAACATTTTTTTTTTGTGATAGGAAAAATAATCTTTATTTAAATAAATAAAAACAGGTTAAGATGCCAATGTAAGAGTTATTACCTATAATTTCACAGTTAAGACTTCTTTTACTGTGCTGGGGATTGAACCCAGGACCTTGTGCATGCAAGGCAAGCACTCTGCAATTGAATTACATTCCCTGACCCTACAGCTTAAAGACTAAAAAATAAATCTTTGGTCTGTTGGCTCTTTTATATTCTTCTTTTTGAGACAGGGTTTCACTATGCAGTTCAGATTGGCCTTGAACTCAACTTTGTAGCCCAAGCTGGCCTCAAACTTGCAGCGATCCTCCTGCCTCAGCCTCCTGAGTGCTGGGATTACAGGCATGTGCCACCACTCCCGGGCAATCTGCTGGCTCTTTAATTCACAGTTCTCCCTCAGTTTTTCTGACCTTTTTTCTACCTTTTATTGTTGTTATGATGATTATCAGCCACAGCCTCTTTTTTAGGTCTCTTGAGTCACTTTCACAAACCAGGATTTTTGAAGTAAAAGTCTTAAGAAAGAATGGAGAAGAGTAATGCATGTTATCTATATTCCAGACAATCGGGTCAAGTATCTGACTGGCAGCACTAGAAAGTTTTTCATTTAATTCCAAACTTAGAGAAATAAACTTGGAAGATTAACTGGCTCATCATCTATGGTAGTTCCATAGACACAGTTAGCCTCATGTTCTTTCAGCCTTTTGATTGGAACCACATGACAAGCATTACATTTGTAGTTAGCCATCCTTTTAGCTGTTCTGGGATTTTTCTTTTTGCATGACGCCATGTAGTACTGTGACCTGCTGGCTGCCATCCTGTGGTTGTGTTATAAGGACATATTTTTTTAAGGCTTCTGGCTCCATGAGGCCTTATCTCGAAGCAGTGTCTCTCAAGATTCCTGAAGGACGTGTCTCCAGAAGAGGAATATGACCCTTCTTTATGAGGGCTCCTACAGTTCACAGGAGGAACTGCTACATAGTCTTTCCAATGAAGTTTCTCTAAAGACCCTCAGTTGGCATGATTAGTCCCATATTTAAACCCTGCCTTTTTTCTTTACAGGGTACCAAATGGAATTCTACAAAAAGTAACATAAAAAGCTCACTACACACTTAAAAATAAAAATTTTAGTTTACTGTTGGCATTCCTAATCTAATGTACTAGGCCTTGAGCCAAACGTTTACATTTGCCAAATCATTTTTATCACTTCCACATTTTCTAACATGAATAGCAAAGTACTGCTGAGGGAATATTAATTTCCTAAGAACACAAGGATGTAAAAGTTAACTCCCTCACTCAGCAGATATTTATCAAGGGCTTACTGTATGCCAAGTATAAATGTGAAAAGATGCCCTCAGAGTCACAGATAGAGGTGATCAAACTAGGACTCAAACTCAGTTCTAACACCACAGCTAATATTTCAAACTCCATGTTAGGGGCTGGGGATTTAGCTCAGCGGCAAAGCGCCTGCCTGGCAAGTGCAAGGTCGTGAGTTCGGTTCCTGGTACCGGAGAAAAACCAAAACAAAAAAAAAAATCAAACTCCATGTTAACTGAAAGCATCGCATGAGTTGGGATACTGTTCAGTTGGTAGAAACAGTACAGTTCAACAACTTACTATTATTTATCTTCCACAATGTGACAAACAAGGTTGTGATTCAAAACATTTCCTTTAGATGGCAGTTTTACTGAAGATGACCTTCATTGCCTTACTGTCTCTACAAATTCTTCACTTGAACAGAACTTTACATGGGATCCCATCTAGCCACAACCAACTGGCCTCTAAGTGGCACACTAGAACACACTTGAACAGTTTTCACTGAGGTTAATGACAGAATACATCTATGCATATATGCAGAAGAAAATCTACGCATATATACAACAGTTTCAAGCCCTTATGCCTCCTCTTGTTCAATTTTTCCTTGATTTCGATTCTTATCCGTATGTCAAATCTCCTTTCCTAGAACTAAATTTAAATGAGTTCTGTTTGTTGAAACAAAGCCTTGGTTTTTGTTTGTTTGTTTGTTTGTTTTTGAGACAGGGTCTTGCAATGCAGTTCAGGCTGGCCTTGAATTTGTGGCAATCCTCTTGCCTCAACCTCCTGTGTACTGGGGGATTACAGGTGTGTACCACCATTCCTAGCCACCAAGCCATTTCTGATCCAAGCTATCTCTGATTTACTGAAATATATATATACTTTACAGGTAAAATTCCCTCCCATTTTGCTCTAAGGAATGAATACAAATAGTGAAACAACTGAGTTTTCAAAATAAGTAAAGATAATAACCAGCCAAATAAAGAGACTAGCAGCAAAATACAGCTTCTCAGAGATAATAGAATAGAAATACTTGGAAAAAAACTTGGTGAAGAGAAAAAAAGATCTCCAGGAATCAGGACAGAGCTGACAGAAAACTACAAACTACAGAGAAGCTGGAGAAATGTAACACAATGCAGAGAAAACAACAAAGCAGTCTAGAAACCACCCTGGCTCCCAGGAGGAGAACCTGTGTCTGCTGACACAAGGCAGGGCTAGAGTGGGTCAGAAGCTCCAGGGAGCCGGAAAAAAAAGGACCAGTTGGCATTAGTCCCAAGAAAAGCCCATGGCTACTGTAAACTACAAAAACAGTGGAGTTTTACTCCAAAAGT